GTGGGCACCTGTAGTACCAGCTACTTGGGAGGCTGAGGCAAGAGGATCGCTTGGAGCCTAAGAGTTTGAGGTTGCTGGGAGATATGATGCCATGGCACTCTACCCAGAGTTACAGAGTGAGACTCTATCTTAAAAAAAAAAAAGATTAGAGTTTTTTCTTTCTATCTCTCTTTTTCTCTTACATTGGCTATTTCTTAATTCTGGCAAGGAAGGCCTACTTTGTAATTTGAAAGTAGGTTAAATCTGATGAAAATGTCAACTGGAAATTTAAAATTTTTTTGCAATTTTTGGCCAGGTCTGGGTTTGAACCCGCCACAGCATATGGGGCTGGTGCCTTACTCCTTTTAGCTACAGTTGCCGCCCTGGAAATTTAAAAATAATACAGATTTTGAGATTTTACCAAAGGCTTAATGACTTAGAACCTCCAGGATGGAACCTAAGAATCTATATCAAACACAAAACTCCTCAAGTGGTATCAAAAACCAAGCAGGTTTGAAAACTACTAAGAAAAACAGAAATAACTTGTACAATTTCCATGAAATACCATAATTCCTTAATTCTCCTGTTTTCTGCTAAAAATAAAAAACTAAAGTTCTTTGCTGACCAAAACATCAAACTAACACATACAGTTTTGTTTTCAGAGACCAAGTCTTGCTCTGTCACCCTGGCTAGTGGTAGAGTCATAGCTCATTGCAACTTCAAACTCCTAGACATGTAGAGCAGTGATTTCGAGCAATCCTCCTGCCTCGGCCTTTGGAGTAGCTGAGACTAGAGGTGCAAACCACCATACCTGGCTAATTTTTCTATTTTTTGTAGAGCTGGGGTCTTGTTCTTGCTCGAGCCCCTGACGTCAAGCAATCCTCCCAAAGTGCTAGGATTACATGTGAGCCATGGCACCCAGCCACATACTTCTATTTTTACAGATCTCAAGAGTAATTCCAGAGGAGCTATAACTCATAAATGTTTGCTTTTTAATATCCTTACACTGGAAGATTGGTAGACATAAAATATTTTAAGTTATTGCAATTCTTCCTCTTTCTTTCACCTGACTCATTGATTCTCAACCTATGGGTCGTGACCCCTTTGTAACAATGAAAATATGTCCTCCATATCAAATATTTACATTACAATTCATAACAGTAGCACAATTACAGTTATGAAGTAGCAACGAAAATAATTTTATGGGGGGGTCACCACAACGCGAGGAACTGTATTAAAGGGTCGCGGCATTCGGAGGCCTAGGAAGGTTGAGAACCACTGCCTTATATGATCTTTGCACTGTTGGGATGCCCTGAAAGTCTCTTTTTTTGTATCCTACTGAGTCAAGAGATGTATCTTTTTATTAACACTAGTCATACAGAACTCACCCAGTTGTAAAACAAAGTTTAAAAGTCCTGGCTTTTTATGAATTTTATATCTTTTACTTAGGTACTCACTATGGTAAAAATAAGTCTAAATGGCCTAAACCTGAACTAAGAAGCCAAAAAGGAAAACAATCCTTTTTAAGTTCACTAGATTTATTTTCTGAATACAAGGGTTACATTTTAGTTTCAGACAATCTTTTGGCAAAAATCAAGACTTTATCTACCAACTATATGCTATAGTATTGTCAAACTTAAATCTATATGAAGAAAAAGAAGAACAAAAAGCCATTAGTTTATGACCTTTATCTGCTGAAATGCTACTGGGAGAGGATGAAATATGGCTTGTTCTTCCTTTTCTTGAAACCGAAAAGTAAAAATTCTACCATCTTGTCTCCCCACCAAAAACTTGCACCAGTAAAATAATTAACAATTATTCTCCATCCCTGGCATTAGGCATATCAAACAGCCCAAGTATTCCTGAGCACCACATTCAAACTTTTCCTCCTATGAGAAATAAGTAGCCAACTTATTCCCATTTAGGGCCACTTGTACTTTTTAAAATCAAGTTATAACTTTATGTTTTGATTTCACTATTTGTCCTTGGGTAATTAAAGCAAATATTACATGTATTACCTTATTATAAGAAAAACAAATGTTTGAATCCTGACTCTGCCCCAGCTCACTGCGAGACTTTGAAGAAGTCAATTCTTGTCCCTCAACTTTAGCTTTCTCATCCATAAAATGGAAACAATAACAAGCTATTATGAGGATTACATGATCTATCTACAAGAATTTTCTAATTATTGAGTGTGATACAAGATACTGTCTTTTTAAAGAAATATTCACAGTAGGCTGGGCGAGGTGGCTCATGCCTGTAACCTAGCACTCTGGGAGGCCGAGGCAGGTGGATTGCCTGAGCTCATGGGTTTGAGACCAGCCTGAGCAAGAGTGAGACCCTGTCTCTAAAAACAGCCAAGCGTTGTGGCAGATGCCTATAGTCCCAGCTACTTGGGAGGCTGA